TTGATTGCAGTTGTTGCTGCTAAGGGTGGCCCAACCAGTTATTAGGTTTAGGGGGCAATCACTTTTTCACACAGGGCCATGTAGGTTTGGATTTTTTTTTCCCCTTAATAATAAAAACCTTCATTGTTTACTTGTGTTATCTTTGTCTAATATTTAAATTTGTTTGATCTGAAACATTTAAGTGTGACAAACATGCAAAAAAATAAGAAATCAGGAAGGGGGCAAACACTTTTTCACACAACTGTATGTATTTTATGATCTCTGTCAGACAAGCACTTACATATTTACCATTTATTCAATTCACAATGTGGCATAATGTGACAAGAACGATCATAGTCACGCATGTTATATTTAACACACTCACAGACTATATGTAATAAAGACTTCATATACTTTATTAAATGTTTGTATACAAATACTGAGTGACATATTATATATGATTACGATTGATATACAGTATATAGTATATACACACAAACAGTCCTGTCTACTTGTATGACAACATGAAATAGTTAATTTGTGCTAATTTTAATAGAATTATTGATTTAGTAATTTGACGTCCACAGCTGTTTGCACTTGTAGACATCATGTCAGGATTATAGTAGGTGCCTGCATGCAGTATAAGAACAGAAGTATTGGTGATTGTGATGAAGTAATGTGGGCAGAACAGCACCAGTTACCAGGAGCTGCACACACTGAACGGCAGAAGGTTTGATCGCTCATCTGATCATCTTGAATGAATACAATTTATGAACACGAAAAGGAACTGTTAGATTTGTAGAGAGCAGCCGTGGTTTGAGATCATTACAGCCGTGTGTCCCGCCTCTTTTATTTGTTTAAGTGTTGGTGCTTCCTCGCCCATAGCTCCACCGGCAGGCCTCCTCGATCCTCTCTCCTCCAGATGCATTTTAGGAATTGGGATAGCCTTCAAGATGGAGCGCTGAGATTGATTTCGGGGTCACAAGCCAGAGGAGCAAAGAGCGAGGAATCGAGGTGGCAAAGAAATCGGGAAATGAGAAAGAGCCACGGACGGAGACATTGGAGGACAGTTATCAAAAAAGCAACTGGTTCACACATTCAAGACCACTGTGGAGTAATTCTGGGCCACATTACAATCTGGCAATGCAGGTGTTCTGCCTTTGAGAGGCGATGGACAACACGAGCTTATGTTTAGGATGCATGTTCAACAATGTACAGAGTGAGCTCACAGACAGTTCCAGAATATTCCCTATTTTCTAAATTGTTGTAAAATGTTAAATTCAATTACATGTCTTGCATTATATCTGCCATGACATCTAATAATGGAATATTGATTGATATTTTCACTTTTGGGAATTGTGCTTAAATATACAGACAGGTGACCAATTAAAAAGAAAGAACAAGCTGAACAAATGAGAAGGGAAACATAACACAGGGACCTTTGGCTGATTGAATGGATTGATGAGTATGGGAATGATGTGAATGGTATGATATAACCCTCACAGTCAATACCAGTCTAATAAAACAATGCTGTTCATCTGTCCAGAAGAGAGCAACAGATCATCTATGGCAAGAGACACTGAAGCTGTTGTGAAAGCTAATAGTGAAACAACAGTAACTGTCTTTTTTCTTTGCTTTGTCACCAATCTGTATGAATAATATTACAAGCAACACAAATACCTACCTTAATATCCCAAACTGTCTCATTTGTCAATGTTAATGATGATTAATGTATGTAGTGTGTGTGCATTTTGATCATATACATTACTGTACCTCGTATGAGCGACGTGATCCCTAGCTTGGTTACGAAGACATTATCCAGTTCCTCACTGCCGGTGAACAGTTCAGCCACCACATACAGGTTAGGACATACTGTTCTGGCCACGTCCAGCATGTACTGGACAAACACAGCAAGGCAACACAGCAGAACAAGTGCAGGCAGTGCAAGAGAGGAGGTTGGAGAAAAGACAAGGAAGGACAGACAGAGGAGGAAGAGGAGAGCAATGTGAAAGGAATGCAGCCAGTTAGTGATAACAGGCCAAGCGACCACAACGTGCACTCATACGGTGCATGAACACAGAGTCAGAGTCAAGAGATGGAAAGAGATAGAGTATGTTTGGGTAGGATGAGGAAGAACGCAGAAAAGTGCAGTGACAAGAGAGAAGAAAGAGACAAGAACACATTAGTTCATGCTGAGGAGCTGTACCTCGTATAAGACTGCTAATTCCCAGCCGGTTAACGAACACATTGTCAAGGAGCTCGCTGCCTGTAAACAGTTCAGCTATCACATACAGATTGGGTCTGACCGCTCTGGCTGCATCTAACATGGCCTAGACAAGACAATACACCAGCATTACAAACAGGGAGAAGAGAAGGGTCTGCTGTTAGCACTGATGTACAGTATGCATCTATCTTCAGACACAGCAAGGCTGGGCTTTACTCAAACTCTCAGACATAAACCAGAACGCAATGAAATGACATTTTCCTTTTACAATTTCCTCATAACCTTGTTCTATTAAAAGCTACAATATGCTTAAGGACTGCATGATAATATGAGAAGAGATGACAATACCTCAGCTACATGTAATGGTGTAGAGTGGCAGTTGTCCAGTCTGACTCCGTGGAAATATTTGGCTGTGATCTCCGTGTACTTCTGCATGTGGGCCCACAGGTACGGGCAGTCCTTGGGCCCATTGCCGTAGCGGAGTTTGACACTGTCACCCCAGCATACCAGCTCCCGACGCACATACACATTGGAGCCTATGTAGCACAGACACAGAGGAATCACAATGTCATCGGTGCAGACTGTTCAACCTACAACCTGAAAGTTGCTGACAGTATTTTACATTGAGGTTCTCAGGTCCCCGTTAATTATCGGATATAAAAAGTGATGTAACAGGACACAGCATCATGGTCAGTGGGAGGAATGAGGATCCCCTCTTCAACCTTGTCACAGCAGGTGTTTATTTATTCCTCTGTTCTTATAGTTTTCTCTCTATTTTTCTAAGACGTTTAATATATCAACCTGGTTCAGCAAAGTTGCGCAGTGGATCGTCTCCCATCACCCAACCATTGTGAGCCAGGAAGAGACACGTCTTGTCTGGCTGGTCCAGCAGCTGCATCTCCTGCTCCAGAGTCATATCGTGATATGGGAAGGTGAAGTACCTGAGACAGACAGATGAAACCACTGAGATCCACCAACCCTCAGCCTCCCATCACTCCTGGTGTTATCATGAACCTCATGTCCCCGTTATCTGTCCAGGATGTAGCTTTAACATTTACTATGTGTCTGCATCATCCACCTCAGCTGTATTGTATCTGTCCTTTGTCTCTCTCCTGAAAGCCATCTCTTTATATTCATTACCTGGTAACCAGAGGGTCTTTCCTGCTAACGGGACCAAGTTTGGGGCCGTGGTCTGCCAGACGCTCATACACTACGTTTCCCACAATACAGTTGGCAGCCTTGAGGAAGAGAAGGAACACAAAGAACACTGACTGATGTACAGGAAGCATTCATTATTTTGGGAAACCCTCACCATGTCTCCAATTCCACACTTTATGCAAATACTCCACTCTAATACTGACACTGCAGTATTTGGGTAGTCAGTGTACAAGTAACAAATATGAACGATATGAGGCATCTCCTCCTTGACTCCTCTGAGAGCCATACCGACAGGTGTCAGATTTGGCTCCAGCCGGCCGGCTCCAATGTGAAATCACATGTCTGACCTTCCGTTAGTGCTTGGTCATATCATGCTGTAGTGTGCATACTAATCATTATTTCTTATTTATAGAGCAGTAACCCCGTCTGGTGGTACATTACACACTGCCTTACCTGCTCCTGATGCTGGTGCATGATGTTGTGCTCTTCTTCGTTCAGCTCCTTCAATTTCTGTCTCAGCCAACCACAGCACTCCTCGATGTGCTGTGGGGAGGAGCTACAGAGAGAGGGCGGTAACATTAAACAAAAAGTACCACTACTCTACATTTACAGAAAGTCAAAGTGCTTCATACATACATGTATACATAGTGCACATGTACTATGTATACATGTATAAAACGGGCCTGCCAGGATTACGTTTGTGACTTTGTTACACAACCTTTGTGCACTGCATATATTCTCTTGATGTTAGCAAATGATTTATCAAGCAGTAATATTGCACATCTCTAATTGAATGTGAACAGAAGCTGATGGAGGTACTGTCATGGAAAGCTCTTGAGCCCTGGCTGAGGAGTCATCTTCTGGTTGACAACAATGGTTGTCAAATCAGCTACTCAAAGAACCGCTAAAACTATCATAAGTTTGAACAATAACCGCCGTAGCTTGAAGTTGTGGGTCAGACCTGCGAGGTACAAAGGTCTCCAGAGCGGAGTCCATGTCCACTGTGTTCCCATAACGATGGACCTCTGGGTCCTGAATGATCCTCAGGCCCTTCTTCCCCCCGGTCTTACTCTGGTCTGGCTTTGTGCCTAACAACACAAACATGCAAAGGTCATTGAAACAGTATCGAAATCTAATTAGCACACGAGCAGCTTTCTAACTGAGTTCAGCCACAACGATCTGTCACTGAACACAACATGTTTGGGTCTATGTGTCTGTTTTCAATTCCTTTGTCACAATAGAAGGTAAACATGCAGAAATGATCACTAGTTGATATATTGACCCAGAAATAACTAGGAGAAATGATATTATTTAAATGTTAAGACCATTGTATGCCACTGATAAAATGATAATGTAATAGCATAATTACAATAGCAAAAAGAGTTTCCCCACTGGGGATTAATAACGTTTTCTAATCTAATAATAATAATGCAAGTACACCCTTTTAGGGAGCCATGCACTTTTACTGTTAAGAATATTCAGACATTGGAATGTGGAAAAAAATAAAAATTAATAATAATAATAATAATAATAATAATAATAATAATAATAATATATAAATAAGTTAAATGAATCCACACAAGCAAACAAATTTATATAATAGATTCTCAGGCTCTGTTACCAAAAATGTGCTGTGTCTGCACATTGCCCGTCTATTGGTAGGGAATAAATGAACCCTGCTGTGTGTTTTGGCATGTTGGATAAATTGTTGGTGACATTCTTATGTAAACAAACACACACGTAAACCTGACGGACGATATCGATCAGCAAGGACCGAAAAATAATCAAGGTCATGTCCATAAATTGTACAATAAGTCATTAGCTTAAAACTGATTGAGGTCATGTCCATCTATGTGTATGGATAAACCATATACGGTAAGACGAGAACATAACAATGATCAAAGTCATGTCCAAATATCGTACATTAAGCCGATAATAATACAATACATTGGATATTCCTCATCAATAAACACAGATGACTGGGGCCACATCTCAACTGATATCCCTGTAGAACGTTGGTGGAATACGGTGCAGCTGAGCATTTCATTAAAACTAAAGCTCCTTCTTGTGGTAAAGTTGTGTCTACACAACACTTTCAGCCACGTTCTTCACTCGTCCGTCTCATGCGCATCTGGCAAATCCGATACGCTTCAATGTAAATCAATACTGGGTTTTACAGAGGAGCATATTTTTATGATTCAGGTCTATGTTTTCTGTATTACGCATGTCATTTCAGCAATTGTATATTGGGCTCTGAGCGCTGCCAAGCACAGGAGACGTACAAAACAGTACATGAACATGTGTATGCACTGAGGCTGCTTCATGCTCTGCTGATGGTGCGCTCACACTTTTTTGAAGTTTTGCAACCATGACAAAGTTGACATAGTTTTTCAAATCTTCACTGATCGACGGTACAGACCATTGTGTAGTAGGGTTCTGAACTGCTCCACAGCACGGTCCACTTTGAGCTGGTAGAACTCCCACAGCTTGATCTGAGGATACACGTCCTGCCACAACACACTACGGATGGCCTGATACACACCAACATACAGAGAGAGGGAGGGGGAGGGGGAGAGACAGAGAGGGAGAGAGAGTGGGGGAGAGACAGGGGGAGGGGGAGAGGAGACAGAGGTAGGGGGAGAGACAGAGGGAGAGAGAGAGAGAGGTAGGGGGAGAGACAGAGGGAGAGAGAGAGAGAGAGAGAGAGAGAGAGAGAGAGGGGAGAGAGACAGAGAGAGGGGGGGAGAGACAGACAGACAGAGAGAGAGACAGACAGAGAGGGGGAGAGACAGACAGAGAGGGGGAGAGACAGACAGAGACAGACAGACAGAGAGACCGACAGAGAGAGGGGGAGAGAGAGAGGGGGGGGAGGGGGAGAGAGAGAGAGAGAGACAGACAGAGACAGACACAGACAGAGACAGAGCGAGAGAGGGAGGGAGAAGAGACAGACAGAGAGAGAGACAGAGCGAGAGAGAGAGGGAGAAGAGACAGACAGAGAGAGAGAGGGAGAAGAGACAGACAGAGAGAGAGAGACAGGGATAGACAGAGAGAGACAGACAGAGAGACAGGGATAGACAGAGAGAGACAGACAGAGAGAGACAGGGATAGACAGAGAGAGACAGAGAGAGAGCGAGAGAGGGAGGGAGAGACAGACAGAGAGAGAGAGCGAGAGAGGGAGGGAGAGACAGAGCGAGAGGGAGGGAGAGACAGACAGAGAGAGCGAGAGAGCGAGGGAGAGACAGACAGAGAGAGAGAGCGAGGGAGACAGACAGAGAGAGAGAG